ATTTAGCTCAGTGGTTTCGCCGCCTGCTGCGCAAGCGCAAGGACCTGAGTTCGATCCCCAGTACCAAAAAGAAAAAATGTCTCTCAATCTAAGAAGACCAAACCTTTCCCACAAACCTAAGTGTTCATATGGGCACCTGTAAACCCAGCACCTGAGAGGCTGCTGGAGGACTGCAAGTTCCTGGCCAGCCTGGACAACAGAATGAGATCCTTAGGAAAAGGAAAAAAAAAAGCTCAGTCTTAGTTGAAGAACTTGTTCTTTCCCTCTTACCACCATAGTCTACCGCACCTTCAGACCAACTGCAAGAGCCCAAAAATGCAGGAAGGCTGCACTCTTTTCTTCTCTTTTTTTTGAGACAGGGTCTCCCTTTGTAGTCCAAGCTTGTTTTGAACTCATGATGATCCTCCTGCCTTAGCCTCCAGATACAAAGCCTCCAGATGCACGCCATTTTAACACGAGACTTACACCCTCTGAAAGAGGATACGGGGCACAAACATGGCTTGACATTTCAGGCATGACATACTGAGTGCGACATGTCGCTGAAGCACTGGAGAACACTTTCTGTGTGAAGGGATCTGAAGTCAGATAAGAGTTTGGTGTAGGCAAAGCACTGCCTGTGTCTCTTGGACAGAGCAAGACAGGCGTGGTCCTTGCCCAGTGAAATCCAGCTGATGCTTATTCTGTGTTTACCAGAAAGCCACATCCTACCAATACCAAAGCGAGAGTAATCAGAAGTGATTTGCTTTTAACCTCGTGAATCACCCTTATCACTGGCCAAGATAGTTTCTTTACAGCAATGAACAGCAAAAGCCAAGAGGCCTGGGGCAGGCCCTTCCCTAATGGAGAAGGCACCCTGGAGGGGGTGAGTGGGCCTGGCAAGCAGCCTGAGAAATGGCTGGGGTTTCCGCCATCACTGGGTCCCCCTCTACCTCCAGACACCTGCTGACGCGCTCCTTCCCCCAAATGTCAGAACTCTGCCCAGGTGGAAGGGATCTGTTCTGAGTGGGCTGACCATGCAGAACTTCGGGAGCTGGTTCTCGGAGGCAGGCCGCGTAATGTATCAGAAAACAAACAAAATAGATTTTCTGTGTTATGCATGATGCATGTGCATCCTCAGACCTGCTCAACTCAGTATCTACAAATCCCTTGCATGGACTGTGTGTGTGTGTGTACGTGTGCGTGTGTGTGTGTGTGTGTGTGTGGTGCTAAGATATAATTCATACATGATTTCATGGTGTTTAGTATACTATAGAGCTGTGCAATTACTACAATTTTAGAATATTTTTATCACCCCCAAAAGAAAACCTGTATTTTCTATTATTTACTTCCCACTCCCCCAGTTTCCCTTTCTGTAGGCAGCCACAAATCTCCTTCTCTATAGATTTGCCTATTCTGGACATTTCATATAAATGGAATCATAATAATACATGGTTGACTTCATTTGTCTTCTGTTGCTATAACAAAGGGAAATTTCTAAATAACAGAGGTTTACTTAGTGCATGGCTCTGGGTCTGGAGAATCCAACTCCAAGGGGCCACATCTAGCGAGGTGACTTGCTGCTGGTGGGGACTCCATGCCAAGTACTGTGGGGGCACAGGGCGTCACACAGCGAGAAGGGTACATACAAGATGGAACCGAGCTGGCATTTATAACAAGTCTGCTCTGAGATAGCCCCTTACTCCATGAGCAGGTTACCCAGTCACAGTGCATAGTCCTCATGACCTAAGCAGCTCTTCAGGGTCTCACCTGCCTCTCACTTACGGACATCTCGTAACGGAGATTAAATTTCAACATGGGTTTTGGACAAGCTATTCATGCCACAGGATCAGTCTTTTGTGATTGGCTTCTTTCCCTTAGCCTAAGGTTTTTCTGTTTTGTTTTTGTTTTGCAATTGCTTCTTGGCCTTTTGGCTAAGATCAAGTGTTTTTGTTTTGCAGTAGCGACGACTGAACCCAGGGCCTTGGCATTAAGCTACACCCCCAAATCTTTTATTTTAAGATAAGGTGACAGGGTCTCACTAAGCTACTAAATTGCCCAGGTGGGGCTCCAACTTGTGATCCTCCTGTCTTAGAGTACTGGGATTATAGACATGCGCCACCACATCCAGCATCCTAAATTTCTGAGGGATCTTCCATGTTGTAGCATGTATCAATACTTCATTTCTTTTTATTGCCAAGTATTATTCCATTGTAGGGCTGGACCACATTTTGCTTATTTATTCATCAGCTAATGGGTATGTGGGCTGTTTCTACCTTGTCACGACTATGGATGACGCTCTATGAACATCAGTGCGTAAGTTTCTGAATGACACATGGAAAAGACAGTATTTTGGGGGTCTGAACCCTCTGGTTGTGGGTACATATATTTTTCAGGCATTAAAGTGAAAAACATTCAACAGGTTAACCAAATAAATTATAGCCCCTACCTAAAACCAGGCATGGTGATGCAGGCCTGCACTCTCAGCTACTTGGAAGGCTGAGGCAGGAGGATCACTTGAACTCATGAGTTCAAGGCCAGTCTGAGCAACATAGCAAGACCCTATTTCAAAAAACAGTATAAACAATCAGCGCAAGTTCCTCACTGGCTTTTGAGGCCTTATACAAAGCTGTCTGCCTCTTTAGATGGGCCTTTTGGTCAGAGGGATCCGGAGCTCAGAGCCTGTGATACACTACTCCTGTAGCTCAGACAGGTCTGCAGCTCTCTAAGCCTCCTGCTGCTCATCTGCAAACTGAAGCTAAGCACAGGACATCCTCCATCATGTGCCTCTTCTGATGCATGGGGGAGATAGTGCCTGCAGAGTGTGGGTCACAATGTCTGGCTCAGTAACTCCTAGGCATGACACCTTTATTCAGCCATGGTGAACCTCCTCTGAGCCCCAAAATGTCCTGTGCATTTCCATTTCTGGACCTTTGCTTCTCCTGAGGAATCAGGAAAGGAAATGAGGGGGGCAAGTGAACAGGAACAACTTGCTGGCCAAGGGGGAAGACCCAGTGAATGCTCCCCCGGGGGTTAGTCCCACAGCCCCTAGACACCACTTCTTGACTGCACCAAGAGGGTAGAAGAACAGGACCTTGGCCTGGAGGAAGGAGGTGAGGAGGGGACTCAGTGCTCAGACTTCCTAGAGGCCATCGGGCAGGAAATGAGGGTGGAGGCAGAGAGATGAGCCTTACAGGAAGCCAGGGAACAAAGGAGTCACACCTGAGAGCAGTCAGGGAGGATGAGGTCCTCAGTGGAGGGGGTGGGGGGAAGAGTCAGGTGGTTTAAAGAGTGAAGGGGAGCAGTGAAGGGGAAGGGAAGAGAGAGAGGCCCCGACTGCCAGGGAGGTCTGACAGCTTCTGAGGCATGGAGACAGTGAGGGATGGCAGCCATCCATGACGGACACCTGCCAGGGGCCTCCACCTGAGCTCAGGGATAGGAACCAGCAGAGAAGGCCAACAATACACCCCTTCAGGGATGAGGTCAATGATCAGGTCATGCAGGGGAACGCTTGTGATCGCGCATGCACACCTAAGGACAGGGAAGGTGCCCTCCTGGATGAAGCGGGCCCTCCCTGATAGCGAGTCCGCTGGCACTTTGATCTTGGACTTCCTGGCCAACAAACATTTACAAGCCACCTAGTTTCATCATTTTGTTACAGCAGTCTGAATGGACAAAGGTGGGCTCTCAAAGTCAGTGCTGTCCAAATCCAAACTCATGACCCTATCCTGGCCTAAGTTCTCTTGTAAATGGTAACGTCTGCCTGACTGCAAGCCTGGAATCTGAATCATCTGACCCATGCCCCTCTTTCTAAACCTTCATATCCAATCCCGGGTCACATCTCTCAAATAGCTGCCGTCACCTCCATCTTGGCCATCAGCACCCCAGTCTCCGGGGACTGCTGCCAGTTCCTAGATTATTTCCTTGGATGCGCCAGTCCCACACCCAGCCTACTCTGCACACCTGGGTCAGAGGGGCTTGTCATACGTCAATCATCTCACGTCATTCTCCTCCTTCAATGGCTCTCAACATAAAGGCCAAACCTGAATACGGTCCACAAGGGCTGTCCCAGCCGCATCTCTGCCTACTTTCTCATGTGCCATTTTCCCTTCCAACCCCATGGCCTCTGTAGGCGCCATTCCTTCTCCCTGGAACACAATTCCACCCCCTCCTTGCTGTGCTCAGTGCTCATATCTCTGTCAAGTACTGCTTTGACAGGGAAGGCTTCTCTTACCCGACAAGGTCAGGTGCCCCGGTTATTATCAATCTCCTATCTTTTCTCAGCACTCATCACAGCTGCAGTGTTTCCACTTAATTTGGGTGATCAAATAGTTCAGGCTACACTGAAAGTTCTACGAGGGTGAGGACCATGTGCGGTTCTGTTCGTCACTGTATCCTGAGTGCCTGCCACAAACCTTGGGCACATAGCAGCCAAAGGCTAAATGTGTTGAATGACCGAGTGATGGTAAGGTCACATAGAATGAAAACAGGACTTGAGGTAGAAAAGAAAATAGTGAAGGAAGATATGCCAATGTCTTCAAAGAATACAGGGGAATTACTGGGCAGTCAGACCAGCATGCCTTGAGGATCATTTAGGTAATGGCAGATGCCCCAGGGATGTGCGGCTACATGAAGGTGGGGATGCTCTGGGATTACTGAGCTTGGCATGGATGAAAAAGCAGCAGATTCTTTCAAAAGAGATTCACCCTTTTTTCTGACTGGATTTTCCTTATAATAAAAAGGAAGCTTTTTGCATAAGCAGCATCCTAAGTGGCCTTGATTCTCCCTAGGAGAAGAAGGAAACTACACTGAAGGACGCTGCCAGCCAATGAAAACAGGGCAGTTGGGGCACCCACGCTGGTATCCGTCACCGGATCCCAAAGAGCTGCCTAATCTGCCCCTGAGGTGAGGGCACCAACAGGAAACCTGCAGTAGCCCATGAACAGCTCTTCTGGTCCCTTCTCAGCCACTGCAAACCGGCTGTCAGAGGCCTGGGTTCCAGCTCTTGCTAGGGAGTCACATACCTTGGTCCACCCAGGAAACTGGATGAAGGTGTCCTGGGGCAGGTCTGGGATCCCACTGGGGATGGAGAAGTTGCCCACATAGAAGGCAGGAAGTGTGTGGTTAGATGAGCTGAGAGTGCAGTGCTCAGCGCGGTGGTCGGCATCACGGCCACCCCAGCTCCCCAAGTGGCTGCGCACGGCCTCCTCTGTGTCCAGCGGGAAGATTGTCCAGTTGGTGAGGATATGAGAGCCAAGGGTCATGTTAAAAACCAAGCCCTGCCAAGGAGAACAGACCTTGATGAGCTGGGCAGGGAAGGAAAAGGCTTTGAGTGTCTCTGTTCAGCGCTGGCTGCCTGGGAAAGCAAACTGAGATAGCAAACAACCAACAGTAAATGAGACCCAGGCCCTGTGCACTCGCAAGTAACACAGCTCTGGCATGAGGCGGAATTGCAGCTCTTGGGAAGAGGTTCATTTTCAAACCAGAGCTGCGCTCTCAGAGGCCAGGGTGTCACCACAAAAGGCCCAGGGCTTCTGCTTCTCCACGAAGGGGACTGAGCAGCTAGCACACTTCAGTGTCTCAGGAACGAAAGATGGAGTCTGAGGAAGGGGAGAATGTATGTGAGGGGGGAGAAAGCAACCCCACACACACACAGTAGATGGAGGGTGTGGACTCCACTGCCACATAGAGCCAGGAGCAAGTGGCCCTGAGCACCTCAGCAGGCCTCACAGAGATGTTCACCTTGGAGTCCACTTGCCTGCTATGAGGACCAAATGAGACAAAGTAGGTAGGAATACTTCAATGTCTGTAGAAGGATATGACAATGAAGATAAACCTCAGAAATGGATTTGGACATTGCTCTCTTCGTCCCTCAGGGACAAGCACTGCGATGTCCCTGGTTATGAGCCATCACATAGAAGCTGATGTTCATGGCCTATCTAACTTCTCATTCCTGGCTTTTCATGTGGGGATCTTCCCCATTCTTAGTGGGACTCCACAATGGTCTCAGAACACCTTCTGGTACTAAGTCTCCTTTGCCCATTTTGTAATTAAACACTAAGCAGATAGCTGTGTGCCAGGCTTTTTGTGAGGTATTGCGAACCCTGAGACTATACAACAGAGTCCTGATCACCCTATGGTCAGTGTGGCCGTGAGAGCCAGGGAGGAAGTCAATGACCACAGACTGAGCACCAGGGGGCAAGACTGTCATGCACAGTGTACCCCAAGTGTATAGCTCCCCGGCCTCTGAACTGCCCAAAAGGGGTCAGGAAGTAGCCCCAAGGCCCATCCTGTGCTAGACTGGGTGGTGCCACAGTTCTCTGGAAGGACCTTCTTTCCTTTTGCAGGTGGTGAGCTGCTAGAGGAATAGGTCACATCTGATGTCTCTGCACCCCCTGAAGCATCTTGGGGGGCATCATGTGAACTTAAAAGCCTGCTCAATAATGCTCTCAAGATATCTGCTGGGAACTCTTAGAGATGGACTAAGTACCTTTTGCATACAGGGATGTGCATGAGTCTTTGAGGGGCCAAGGGCAGAACACTGTGGCTTATGTCTAGATGTCCCCCCAAAGCCTCATGCAGTCTTTTTGGAAGGTAGCTAAATCTGGAATGTGTGATGCTAGGATTAAGGGCATGTGATTATTAAACCACTATATGTGAGTGATTGGTTTGGTACCGCCCTAATCCTGGTAGTATAAGATAAAAGGAGCAGAAAGACACTTTTAAGGTCCCTTGCTCCTTTTTGCTGTCTTCCACTGCCATGAACTGTTTCCCTTGTTGCTTTTGCTACCTTGTGCGTGCCATGTTTCTCCTCTTCAATGCCTGTTTGCCATCTACTCTGGCTTGGAGCCAGCTGATTATGGACCGAAACCTCTACAAATGGTGAGCTAAATAAACCCTTTCCCCATTAAAATAAAAAAAGATATCTGCTGGGAAAACATATTTGGACTAGACAACTGGGCCGAGGGACCAGAAGAGGCGAGAGGCCATGCGGCAAGAAAAGGCTTCGTAAGATGCTGGAGTCCAGGCCCACACACCCAGAACCCATCCAGAGCTAACTGGCTTTGCTGGTGAGGGAGTGGCTCTGGTGACTGTGGTGGGTTTTCAAAGTGGAGGAAGAGCTCGGTGGAGCAGCTTCCTCCTTCTGTTTTTCATGACAGGATAACCAAATTCAAACACAAAGGAAATGCTGTGGGTGCAAAGCTCAACTTTCTTATCAGCTGCAGAGGAAAAGAGCTCTTCCAAAGAATCCATCTCCTAGGTTGTAAGACAAATCAGCCTAGCAGTGTGTGTGCTCTTAAAAAGTGCTCCTATGATGTTAACCTGATTGTGATCATCATTTCACAACGTATACCCATAGCAAAACGTTCAGCTGTACTTAACTACATAAATTTTTTTTTTACTTCTAGGTTAATAGAAGTGAAAGGGAAAGAATGTATCAGTGAGTTTTTAAATGGATGTACAAACACTTTCTCCGACTGCTTACACAGTCCTGCCTGTATGGCTCACTTACCTTGGAATCATTGATATAACTGCCATAGTTCACACGCCCCATGTTCTCCACCAGAAGGTCCAGACTGGCTCCAGCTTTCCCTCGTATTTTTAGAGACAACACATGGTTTCGCTCAAGGACTCCTTGGGGGACCTGTGGGTTCAAGGCCAAATCAGAACTGAATGGAAGGTAAGATGCGCAAGAAGAGGCAGCATACAGTCCCAGCACTCTCTGTCCTGCCTGGAAGTATCTGACCTGCAGGAAGGCTTTGATACCCCTAAGTCCATGTCACTAGCCAGGTGGCCATGCTCCCCCAGTCAGCTGCTTGCTAAACAGGAAAATCGCCAGACACAGGCTTGCTGGTTTCCATTGCTTTGGAAAGTTTTACTGTTCACCTATTTTTAAAGGAAAGAGAATGGAGGCAAATTGCAGGAGAGGATCCCTGTTAAAGGAGCTGCTTTATGTTTTCACAGCACGAAAGTCAGCCACAAGGAAATAGCTTCTAAACAACATGGAGAGAGGAGGCAAATAGATAACCAAGATAAAATCAGACTTAGGTGGAGTATGCTCACATCAAAAGAGTTGATAGGATGCATTAACCACGAAAATTATGTAACAGAATGAAGGAAAATAACAGGGTTTTTTTTTTCTTTTTTGGTACCAGGGATTGAACTCAGGACCTTGAGCTTGCGAAGCAGGCATGGTGTCACTGAGCAAAATCTCCAGCCCAATAACAGGTATTTTTATCAACAACAAATTCTTAACTTTTTAAAAGGTTGTTAGGTCCGGGGATTTAGCTCAGTGGTTCTGGTGCTTGTCTCAAAAGTACAAGGTCCCGAGTTCGATCTCTGGTACCAAAAAAAAAAAAAAAAAAAAAAAATCATTGCATATTCTTTGGGCTGGGGATTTAGCTCAATGGTTCCATCACCTGCCTCACAAGCACAAAGACCCAAGTTCGACCCCCAGTACCAAAAAAACAAACAAAAGGTTGTTAAGATTTTTTTTGGTACCTGGGACTGAACTCAAAACCTTGTGCTTGTGAGGCAGGCAGCGGCACCACTGAGCTAAATCCCCAGCCCGTTCGATTTATTTATTTATTTTTCTTATTTTAATTTTTGGTACTGGGGATCAAACTCGGGTCCTTGCGATTGTGCAGCAGGTGGCGAAACCACTGAGCTAAATCCCCGGCCTAGATTGTTTTTTCAAAAACTGGCATTACACTGAATACAACTCACTAAGAGAACTCCTAAACTGCAGGACATGAAATAATCGATCACCATAAATATACCATCATGTCTTAGAAGTTCTTCCCACTGAAATTAAAGCTGCTGATTACAAAATAATGAAAATATTTACATTTTTCTGAACAAATTTTCTTGATTATGTAAATTGTTTCACGGGTCCTTTCCTATGACTGTCTCAATGACAGGAATGGATATCTTACATAACATCTGCATTTTGTTATGAGACCAAGTTCTTGATGTCTTTTAGTTGCAACTGTCATGAGCAATCCTTCAGAATACAATTTCTCGTCAGGACGAGGCAGCAAGGTCAATGATTTGTGGCAGGTACAAAACTGAACCGGAAATGCATGCTGTCCTACAGCAACAACATGCTGTGGCCAGGCAGAGAAAGATGGCGCTGGGCTGGGAGAAGCCCTCCTAGCTCCTGGGTCTTGGACCAGGGTCCTCAGAGCTAAGATGGGCCTGGGGAGTATTCCAGGCAGGTGGAGCCTGGGACAGGCCACATCTGTAAGCAAAGGACAGCGGTAAGGGACATCAAGAGGGCAGAGCCTGAGGCCAAAGGGGTGAGCAAAGGCCTTAAGTGCCATGTTGGTAGGTTCTATGTCCCTGTCAAGGCAGAAATGCACTGCTCAGACCCTTACCCCATCTACGGAGACATAGGCCAGATCGTGGACTCCATTGAAGGGTAGAGAAGAGAGGAGTGTTGAGTTGCTGTAATCTTCAAGAAGTGTTGTTCGGTACAGCACAAACCCAAAATACTGGTTAGAAAAGGATTTAAGAAAAAATATCATTCTTGCTGTTCATTTAGGGAGAACTTGGTTTCCCTTTATCTGTATGAAAGGGATGTTTTGAAAACCATAAGGAAAAATAAGCTTCCACAACTTCCAGCAAAACTTATTCTACAAGAAGGGAACCAGTTTAGGCTTTTAGATCTTTGCCTAACTATCCTGACTTTAAGCTGCAAGTGGCTCTGAAGAGTATCTGACCAAGCATCCCTCTCCCAATGGCAGGTTAAATCATTTGCTCAGAGTACCTCGGGACTGTATTATATATATCAAAAGGTACTGATATTAATTCAGAAAACAAAATCAAGGAAGACCAACAAAGAAACAAGACAGACAAACACCAACAAAACCATGAAATGAAGTTATGCTCAGGTAAACTCTTCAGGTTCTTGGGCTAAATCTATTCTAACATAAAACAAGACTCAATCTGAAACTAAAGTGGTGCAACAGGGGGAAAGAGGGAGGTGAGAGACTAGCCTGTAACTGTTGCTAAATCTGAAGTTATTTTTAGATGCTGACATCCCTAATCCTGAAGGAATGTGTAACCAGCCTCAGCATCCACAGAATTAGTTACTGATTTTGCTTATCTGTTTCTTGCTGTGGGTGAGCTGCGACAAAATCCTGGGTTATGGAAAAGAATCCAAATAGAAATCTAGCATGTGACAGAGAAAAAGGTCCCACTTCTAGGGCCTAAAGTGGAGGAACTGAGGAAAATGTTACCTACTCCCTGAGTTGCAGGAATGGGCTGTGCACAGGGAAGGCTACTAGTCCTGCCCAGACCCTCAAGCAGACCCCAAATTTGTCTCCCTTCTTGTTTACTGAAACAAACCAAAGTGGTGGGTGCTCATTCTGAGGCTGCAGAAAACTTGCAAGGAGCTTCCAGAAGGGGAGCGGAAGCCAGGGTGCTCCTGCATGCAGCTGTGGCTGAGGCCTCAGGAGTCAGGGAGGGGGGCAGCCTGCAGAGGTACCAGGCTCTGCCGCAGTCCTTCAGCTTGTCACCTCCCCCCGCCCCCCGAAGTTTTGCTGGAAATAAATATTCTAGGTGCTTGCCCCAGACCTGAAACAGCCAGAAAGATCAGCAGAGAGATCAACACCCATACAGCTCAAGAGCCTGGAAAGCTGGGGTTCACGCCCCCTTTCACCCATCCACTCACCAGCAAACAGGCTCTGTAAGGAGGTACAGAAAGCACAATTTTGTCAGTAGAAAAAGGTGAAGCATTACCTTTGAAGGCCTACCTGTTTCACCTGGATAAATGTCAAGGGATAAAGGCTTTTTGTGGATCCTCTGGGACACAGGATGTCCAGAGCTCCTGCCATTGTCTTTAACTGAAAAGAAAGAAAAGCAGCACTTATTGTTGCCCGTCACTGGTAATGATGGTAAGGATAATACGATGCCCAAACTATCAGACATTAGTGGATTAGACCAAACCATGAAATAAACCTAAGCCGTTCAAATTCTACTCAGTGCTGCTTCCTAGTAACATTGGGCTCTCTCATCCACTTCCTAACTCTTGATGAAAAATGTAAATGACGGTAGCCTTAAAGAGCTTCAAACTACTCATTTAGAAATATAACCTGCTCGGGGATAAATATGACAGGCCTTGAAATAAATGGAAACCAAGGTTCAGCACCTGCCTTCTCTGTAAAGCTTTCCATAACATCTTCAAGAAAAATAACTATAAAGTATAGTAACTAGAAGCAACTGCACCGAGACGAGATGTGCCATTATGTCACCTCATTGTAATTCTTTCATAGTTATTTCACCCTCCAGTGAGCTTGTCTGGAGCAAATGTTCTGGTGTCATTTAGTAGCTGTTTGGTACCATGCTTGCTCCTACTGCCTAGCACCTGGCAGACAGGCTAAGTACTGCTCATGTTCAATCTAAGGGACCGTGTACTCCTGCAGCAGTGTGTTTATTCTAATGCAACAGTAAGAGCATTTTAACAATAGCTACCTGTTATCGTGTGCCTGCCTATCTCACATGAGTTGTAGCACTGTACACCCACCACCTTGTTCAATCCTCACAATGGCCTAAGGACACTGGCAGGCGTTATTGTCCCCACAAGACTAAGCAGCTCACTCAAGCAATGAGAGCAAGGATTGGCAGTTATGTTTGCCTCCAATACCCAGATTACTGCCCAGCATAAAACTGATAAGGATTTTTTAAACATTTGTTTTTGCCTTGAACTTGCAGTGATCCTCTTGGCTCAACCTCCTAGAGTGCTGAGATTACAGCCATGCCCCACCATGCCCTGTGAGGATTTTATAAACAATTTACAAGGGTGTCTGGCTGCTGTGCAGCACTATGGAAATTTTTTTTTTTTTTTTTGCCTTTGAGATAAAGTCTCACTAAGTTGCCCAGGCTGGGCTTGAACTTGGGATCCTCTTGCATCAGTCTCCTAGAATGCTGGGATTACAGGT